TCTCTCTCTCTCTCTCTCTCTCTCTGTCTCTCTCTCTCTCTCTGATTCCTTCCCTCCCTCGCGTGCGTTACATCTCCATCCCCGCGCACCCTCGCGTTCTCGAACCTCCCTGCCTTCGCGTTTCAAAGCGCGTAATCTTCTTGTTCCAAAACTTGCTCCGCGCGACGCCTCTTATCCGGAACTTGTCGCGGGCATTCCCACCTGGGGGAGAGGTAGTGACAACTTTCTGCAAACAGTGATTACAAAGGCAGAACTGACAAACATTCGCAGCGTGGAGCGGGGGTAGATTGCCATCTATCTCTCGCCGCGCTATCTGACTGCTACTTTCCGCGCGCGTTTTCGTCTCCATTGTTCGGATTGCACGTGGCTTGTCATTAACTTTAACCGTCGTTACAGTTTTACGTGCCCCGCGCTATTACGTTACACTCGCCGGCTGCGTCGCTCGACACGCGGAAGTGATAAGATTTAATTGAATTGCCGCGTGAGTGAAAAAAAAAGAGGCGGAGGCATGAAGTAATCTGCGTACAACGATGATTAATTACGGCTGACATTATGACTGTCATTTAAACAACATTTGTACACGCGGAAAAAGCGGAGTTAAATTCAGCGTAAGTAGATAAAATATAATTCAGCGGAAGATTTATTCGTCCACAACGAAGACAGTAATCCAACGTTATACGTAACGATGAAATATGAAAAACTTAGTATTATATGATAACATTCGATGTGCAATCAAATAAATATAAAGGAAAGATTATGAGATAGAATTTTAATATAGCGGGATAGCGGGGTTTCCGTGAAATTAATAAGCGTCATCGGTTGATTCCACGATGAATTTATTGCCCTAGGAGCGAAATCTGTTTAGTGGAAAATTCATTGTTAGATTGTGTAATCGTTGCGGAAAAAGATTTGTGATTTAATTTGGGTGTTGAAAATCTGCTCTCATAATAGAGGACCTTCCTGTATATTTTACGTCGAAAATCTCTTGTGAGTAATTAAAGGGCGAAGGAAGTTGTAATCGATACAATGCGAAGAAGTGCAAAATATGTGTCAAGCTAACTTGTATTGCAAGTAGAAGTGACTTCCTTTGCAAAGTATATTTTTAAAAAATGAAATAATATAAATGTGAGTTTTTACAAGCCACAGTAAATAATTATATTATTTTATTTGCCAACTTCAGTATAAATCGCATTTTACCGTTTTCAAGAACCGAATTGCTGGAGACGCAGTCGCGAGAGGAGTCTCTAATCTGCTTTCACTTGTAAGCGAACGGATCGGCCGAATTTCAGGACCGTTAATTTCAAGAACGTCTCTCGGAGCCTCTTTCGTTCGCGGCTCTCTGCGAGCGCCAAGTTATTTGAGCGTGCTTGACCATAATTCATCGCAGGTGTCGACTCGCTGAGCAAGCAATTCGTGCGGCTCTACGAATTTACGTTAATTTCCACGAGGCGGGCCACGTGCGCGCCGACAGGAGTTCCGTAGCGGGCAAGTAGAAACGGCCGGTTAAAGTCAGACAAGCGTGCGTATGCGCCACTCCTGCAGCAGAGTTTACTGTGCTCTCGGTTGTAAGATTAAAGGTACGCTACGCGCTAGATGAAACACACGTCGCTACAAATTCGCTGCAAATTCGATTACGGTGCTAGAACGCGTATCTCCACGTTGTTTTCCAAATTAATATCGAGCAAACTTGTCAATTTCTGTACGATCGTGTCGACAAACGCGCCTCTCGCCAACCCACCCAGGACTTGCGTCAAGTTGCATTTATCACCGGGACGGAATCCGCGCGTTTTTAAGCGCTGAAAGTATGAGATTATGTTTTCCCTGACAAATTCTCTTAGGGAATACGCAAGAAGATTCGCTCTTTGCGCCGGGCGGTATGCGATTTGAATTTACGTATTCGCGTGCAAATAAACGTAAGCAGGGCTTTGACGCGATGCGGCGTATTACCCGGCGCGGAGGTGAGCTCAAAGGGAGGAGCGCGCGGAGACGGCGGAATCCGTGACGACGAGGGTCTCCCTTCGGGCGATACCAGAAAACTTTTCCGGGTGCCGAGCATTAGAGTTATTTACCGCGGGAAGCTCCATTTTCGGCGGCTGTACTCGCCACGGTGCGAAGGCAACGCGATACTTATACAGGGCGGGCCATAAAGGCCCGCCATAAATTGCACCCTTGATAAAAGTAGCTATATTTAACGCCGGCCACCCGCGGGGTACACCTGAATACGAATTCATTCGTCCTGACAGTGGCAGCGTACATTTTATCCGGCGGAATACGACGCGAGTATTCAAGAATCGCGCGCCCCTCGGCTCCGGATTACGGGATATTTGTGCCCTCCATTGTGCGTCTTACTGCCCCGCGGAATCCAGCGGGATCGAGCGTGTGACGGTCGTGAAATGTTAAAATTATTACAAGCCGATTCCTTTTAATTTTATTTACCGCGCGCCTCCGGTAATAAACGTTTCCTCCGCCGCGCGATTCTTTTTCCGGCGCGCGCGAGCTCGCCGTAAACAGGGTTTGATTTATTTACCGTAATAAAATGAAACGAATAATACGATTGATAATTACAATAATGTACTTTTATAAATATATTCCCCGTCTATTCTCTTTCGTAATCAATATCGCGTACACAATGATTAAAAACGGGCTTGGGTAAACAAGGCAAGACGTAATGTAATATTGCAATTATCGTTTCTGTAGTTAACAATAGAAACTTGGAATAATGTGGCTGCAAAATCTAAAATGCAACAACGCGGCTGTACGTGCTAATGATAAAATGTTGCTTCTTTTGCCGCGTGTCACTCCGTCGCCGCCGCGAAATATTATTTTGCTATTTGTGTACGCGCGACGCGAATGCGCGACGCGGATTTTTAATGAGTCGCTGCGCGTCTCAAAGGGATAAAAAATGGGGAGGTCGCGGTTTAGAACAACGGGACAATTCTGAGTAATAATGTTTTTCGTGTAAAAAAAACGGCCAGTTTTCGGACAAAAGCAGCGCAATAAATGACGAATGTGGAACTCCGGGCAGACAGCGCAGCTTTTTGACGGGAAACGTGCGGCAGTTGTTGACCTAAACCGCCGAAAAAGCTGTTATTGAAAACTGCCCCGCGTACCAAACTGTCCCTGTTTCTCTTGCTTAAACGGTATTTTTCTCGAGTACAACTCGTGTTGCCGCTGAAACTGATACGCGAGATCAAAATACATAATGGAAAGCGCGGGCAAATGTACGATGCCTAATTCGTCACATTAGATCAAAGCGAAGAGTCCGAAGTGCACGTTACGTTATGTTTGTAGAAATAAATGGTGCATTATATATTTCTCTCATAGCTCCATCAGCACCTAATGGCGAGAAAAATGTTCCTGCTCAGTTTTCTCGTGCTGTGTTGTTGGAGGAGCGAGAGCCTCACGTCCAGATCGAGAAGACAGATATTGTATCCGCCGCCGATCGTCTACCCGTATGGAGGAACATTCAAGGTATTTTTAAGCGCTTCTTATCTCGAAGAGAGTATCACTTTTCCTCGCTGTAATATCGCTTCATTGCTTTCAATTTTATCGCTCCGAGACTAGCTCGGCAACTAATTTTTCAAGTACCTCTTGCCGCGCGCGTATATTTGAACATTTTCTGTGTCTGAATGTTTCTCCCAAGACGACGCGCTAATTACGATTCTCACGGCTGATACCTCGCCGAGCGAAGATCCTTCTCGCGGCAAATATCTTCCATCTGACGAACCGGTGACACTCCTATAGACGCGGTAGATTTTTGTAATCATCCCGAGTACTCCTGAGATAAAGTTTCCATTTCCCGAAGAGATCGCTCGTAGAGCTTCAGTTTCAACGTTGTCTCATTGTTTTAACGTTAGTCGTTAAAAGTGCAAGTTGTGTAGCTCCTTGTAACGTGATACCTCAAACACTATGTCTAATAATTTAATTAAATTGCACGTAATTAATTATGTACGTCCTTTATCGGCAGCTACAATTTGTAATTTATTATTTATAAAGTCAAGACAGGGGAAAAATGTTGGGTGGATTGAAGCATCTAATTATAACATATTTTATAAAATATTTATACACATATTTTAGTCTCTTTATAAATAAGAAGGAGTAGCGAACAAAATTGAGGCGGAGCAAAAGAGAAAGCTCAGCGGATGAGATTTTATTTTGTTACATTAATGTACTTACGGTTTATACTCTTCCCGAACCCTTTCTTGTTAACATATTAAATAGTAATTGCTCGTGCACAAACATCGTCCTGATCCTCTCTACAAATTTGTTCTGGCCATGAGCTCAATTAACACGGTGGGATCGAAATCATTTCGAAGACTCACCCGTCAAAAAAAGCTACGCCGTCTGCCCAGGGTTCCACATTCGTCATTTATCGCATTTGCTTTTGTCTGAAAACTCGTCGTTTTTTTTACACGAAAAACATTATTACTCAGAAATCATTGCGAAGTAGCGAGGCGGAGGAAATTTTGAGTACAATTTCACGCTATCGTTAACAGTGCTGTTAGTGTCTTCAATAGCGTGAAAAGAGGGGAAACGAAACTGAAATGGAGAATGGCGCCGGCGCTCGCCACAGGACGCCATTAATAATTAACTGCAGTTTTATCTGCGGTCCGCCTTTAAATCCTCTAATTAAATCGGAAAACTCCTGCTGTGCAGTTTTCGCAATTGAATGAGAAGATTCGATGTCGTGATGAGTTGTTTGTCTTCGTTTTCGCTGCCTCTACGAGATATTCCCGGTTATTAGTACTATCTCTATCTCCTTCCCCTTTTCCTCTGTCTCTTTCTCTCTCTGAAGGAAAGAAAACTTGGGAGAAATTAAACGAAAACTCAATAGAGTATCTGATCAGTGTGTAAATAAGCGATTTTAAAATTGTAGAAGTAATCGGAAACGATGGAATGTTAGTTCTTTCCTATTTCGAGCTTTGCTACGCGATTATAAAATGGTAACAATTGAGGACGATTATTACATCAGACCTAGACAAGTAATGTATCGCTAAATCACGAGGCGGGGGTGGTGGTGAGCCTCTACAAGTTGGTCTCTTTTTATTGAATAAAAATGTATTTCAAATAAAAAAGAGAAGTATTAGTTTATTTATAACTAGAGCAATGCAAAGTTTAATTTGATCAGAGTGCAATGTGTAAAGTATTGATTGTCCGATATAAACGGAGCAATCTTGTATGTACAAAAGAATGTTTAAATAATTTTCTAGTGAATATCCAGAACAGTGCGTGCTACACATTTTGCCGGCAAAAAGTATACCAGTTTGATACAAAACTTGACACATTTAAATATACCAAAGTGCTAATAGAAATAAAGCACGTTAATCAAATGGGATGATTAATGATAAAAAAATCAAACTTTAATAAACTTGCTCTACAGTCTAACATAGCTTGTCAGCAACATTTTATATTTAGTAGTTGTACGTATAATTTATATTTCACATTTTACTTTTTATTCCATTGTCGTACGTACGTTTCACGATAAGAGCATGCATACTCAACGTACACAGCTGCGGGGTGCGAAACCAAGAAGATTGGTTTTTGGTTCGTGTCGCTACGACGATTTTTCGCCGAGTTATAGCGTTTTAAAAATCGGGCGCGCGCGCACCATTCATTTAACAAGGTCGCGCGAGTATTACGCAAGCATTACGCGAGCGTACTACGTCCCCAAAAAACTGGCATAAAAACATACGAGGCACACGTGTTCGGTAGTAAACATTGCCGCGCGAGACGCCGCATATACGCGTCGTCTGCTGCTGTGACTAAGGATTAAGATCGCGAGTCGATATAATCGTCAATGACTGCGCACAGAAAAATCGTAGCGAGATGAGCTTGGTCTCGTTGGAAAGCTAAGATTCCAACGCTTCTAACGAGATAAGAATGGCTTATCTCGGATCATTAGTTTATGAAATATCATCGATTAATTTTGAAAATAAAATTGATTTTGTCCCGAAATCGAGATCTCGAGTCGATATAATCGTCAATAACGTCGCACAGAAAAATCGCAGCAAGATGATCTTGGTCTCATTCGAAAGCTAAGATTTCAGCGCTTCCAACGAGATAAGAATGGCTTATTTCGGATCATTAGTTTATGAGGCATTATTGATAAATTTCGAAAAAATTGACTTTGTCCCGAGATCGAGATTTCTTGAGTAGGAATTTTAGGAGATTTCTTGATTAGGAATTGTTTGAAAATTACTAGAAACGAATACCGTGTCTTGACGAGGTTTTATATTTCTTAGCATCAAAGACATGTCGTTATTGTTAGATTGCAATTGTCATTTTCTTATATTTATTAATTTTTTTTATTACTAACGTATAATTTTCAGAACTTGTTTTTCCCGTCTTTTGTAATTTCTATTGCCGTGTGTATGTACATATATAACGTTTATCAGCAGAACGTAATTGATTGTGAGAACTGAGTTATCAGTTTAAATGGATGAAATGTCCAAACCATATCACTTCTTTCAACGTAGAGAAAATATCGCGGAGTGATGCTAAAAATACAACACAACGTTTCCAGAAGAGAATTTGGCAGCGCGAACATTCGCTGAACTGCGTCTTTTTTACCGTTTCGTGAAAACAGGAAACAAAAAATTTCGTAAAACGCAAATGCACGAGGGACAAATTCGATTCGTGCGATCAACGCGCGTGAAAGGGTGTCGAAACACCCCGGCGCGCTGGCACACGTACAAACGAACGAAGCGAAAGGACGCGACGATCGTTGCCGTTATAACGCGGAGATAGTGAATTGTTCTCCCCGGAAAGCCGAAAGAGGCCCTTTAATCCAAGGAGCAGCGCGCGGTAATTGTAAATATTTGCCTTTTAAAACGCCGGCGGCCAAAGGGGAAAGCGAATTGGGCGCGTTCGGGTCACCGCACGTGCAAACTCGCCGAGGAAATTATGTCGAGGTTTGATTGTGATTCGCGACAGGGGGGGAGAAGAGACGGAAAAGACGGAGCTCTCTTTCGCGTCGGAGTATCGCTATAGCGCCGACTTGCGCAAGATGCATCGTTAATAAAGTGCTGCTCGAATATATTTCGCGAATGCCCCTGTTATTGCGTGCTTGATATTGGATTACACAATGTCTGTTAAATACCACGAGGAAAGCTCGCCGGGAGCCGGGCTTTCCGTGCCAGCCCGATTCCAACAAGACGCCTTGCACGCGTTTCTTCTGGAAGTCGGCGGCGCCGCCGCCTTAACAAATGTGCAATATCCGTAACAGAGGTAAATTCCCAGGTAAACATTTGGAATTACAAAGCCCGGCTACGATCGCCGGGAGAGAGAGCCTTCGGGATTCCTAATGTAAATACGTTCCGAAAATGCAATAGCAGAGAAAACAAGATGCCGCGAGTGCGGCGCGCCCCGCGTCCCCCCGCGGAGCGGAATATTTAGAATGGGGTATCGATCTTGCTTTCCAATAAGTAGAGGACGATCGGGTCCGTCCCTCGTGGGAGGGACGACGAATTCAGATTCCTCCAATGCATCCGTCGCTGCATAACGGAAATGTTACGCGATTTACAGTGATTCGGGACTTGCAATCAGTGCAGCGCGAAAAACGCCGCGCAAGAAATCGGCAGAGAGAAAGCTGAGGGAACTTCCGCGTTGATTCAGGTTTAGGCCGGTACCTTCGGAGGGAAGTCAAGACGAGGGTACGATACTGACGCCCTTCGGCTCTAAGACAACGCTCGAATCTCGAGAAGTTTGTGTTTCGTGCAGAAAAGTATACTTTTGTAACGCACTCTACCATCTTCCTAATTACTTTTTTTTAATGATACTTTTGGATAACTTTGCATTTGAAGTATTTTTATATTACACGCCAGAAAGGTTTTTTTTTCGCGAGCGAGATGCTTCTCTCACTTCGTTGGACGAGACGGGAAAGGTAAACGCGCTCAAATATAGTATATTTGAGTGCAAGCTTTAAACAAACTTTTAACACAATTATATGGTACGAGATAACACTTCTGGAATGTAAAACGAATACCTCACTTAGCATTATTACATTACGCATGTGTATCGCACGTGTCTTCATAACGTTCCTCACGAGCGTAAAGAGTTAATGTAAATAAATTGTCAGCCCGTCTTGGCGACGTCGGTTCGCTCTTGCATAAAGAATACGAGGCATCTAAACAAAGTAGAAGCGCGTCATAAAAACTAATGCGGGCGGAAGGACAGGTTTGGCGAGTTGCCAGAGTGCTGTGAGTGGCTACACCGTCATCTGCAGGTTGCGAAAATACATAGCGTAAGAATAGAGAGATCTTTTATCCATGGACAAAACTGCAATTAAACTAGCGTACTTATTGTTAGTCTGGAAAATGTTGTGCACGTGAAACACGACAAGAGCCCTCTCGATACTCCGCGTTGTGACGCGTCTTGGTACACGAAGTTTCGCACAAAGAATTATGAGAAGCACCCCCCCCCCCCCTCTCTCTCTCTCTCTGGTGTTGTCTTCAAAACCTCTCACAAGGCGCGCAGTCTATTTATACAAGTCTATGATGAGAAGAATCTCATTGTCTATCTATATCTCGATACGCAGGCCAGTCTTCGTGGCGCGTTCCTGCCTCCCCTTCGCATTTTTCGTCTTGGCAGCCGCTCATCAATCTCTTCCCGACCGCACGCGCGCTGCGGCTGGACCATTGCGGCCGCGCATCTCCGCATTCGGCAGACGCCGATATTATCGTTATCGGTGCCCCTCGCGCGCCGCATCTTTGCTCGCGCGCCGCGCCGAGCTCAGGCCAGACGAGTGGGTTTCTTGTTCCATTGCGCGGGTGATTTACGACGGCGCGTAATCTCTACAATGAATTCGCGAGTCCCACTCGTCTGTTCCCAGCAATCCCATTTTGCCCCGGTCTGGATATTAGGTATTAGCATATGAATTTTTATGTGTCTATTGCGCGATGGCATCAGCGCGACGGCTCTACTCAGCATCCGCGTCCTCCGAGTCGCGGAACCCGAGTCGAATACCTTGGCCTCGGTTTAGCCTCGTATAATTTTTGAATTGCGAGCGAGGTAGAACTAAAGTCATTGTGTCGGAGAAAATATATTGAACTTTTGACCTGATAGGCCTGAAAAGAAATATTTTATTACGTTCTCTTTGAGAATTAGAATGAGGTTAAACACAATTTTTTTTACTCATCTGGGCCTCAAATTGGAGTTTCAAACCGAGGTCCAAATGAAGACAGAATAGAGTAATTGAGACCCATTCCGGGACCAAATACTCGACTCGCGGAAGCGCGCCCGTTCACTCGCCCTCCCAGCCTCCCGTCGCCGCTCGTGTGCTGACTCGAGAAAATCACAAAATTAATTCCCGTCCGGTTTTTCGTTCCCCTTGGTCTATACTTTTCCGGATGAGCGAGTAAACTGCCCACCCTCGCGATATATCCGCTCGCGGCCTGTACCTTTTATTCTCCGACCGAGGAAGCGACGCTTTTATCTCGATCACTAGAGAAAGAGATAAATCCTTTATTTTCCAGCAGAAAAAAAAAGAGAAATGTTTCCTACGCGAGGGAGAGAGAGGACTGTGATTTAAGGCGCGGTTGCGAGAGCCCTTCGAGTTCTTCCAGAAATATGCAAACGCGTTCTGTTCCGTCCCGGTGTTACTTCGGTTTCTGCTGTTTCGCGAGAGGTTTTCGAGGAAAACGTTGTCGCTCGCCGCATCCTCACATCGCTCCTTCCTATTATAATTTTCATTTTCGAACGCTTTCATGTTTCTTTTATGAGAAAACGTATTTTGTTTGCCATTCGTAAATGCTGATCCATTCGTAGCGCACATTCAGATAACTAAATACATATTAACAATACTTGTAAATGGCTGAATTGATATCCGCGTGACGCAAGTGCGCGGACACATTCGTTGAAATTCATTTCTGTTCGTTGTATCTGCGATAAGCTCATCGTGGGATTTGCAGTGCCCGTACAACTCTCGGGCAGGATTTTGGTTTACGGGCAGAACTTTCAGTTTCAATACCTCTTGCCGCAGAACGCGACACTCTTCACGGAGTTCTTCGCGTCGTCGCGGCGACGACGCGCGAGCGTTAGCTGGAACGAAAGAACGACTGTCTACCGGCTCTTGGAGGAGGAGTTGGTGAGGTAAGAATCGTCTCTCCGTCGAACACACTCGTGTGACACGCGATATCGGACGACGTGACGGCGTACAAATTTACCACGTTATTTACATATGGACTTACGCGCCGCGACGTACAAACACAGCTTAAGCAGGCGTTTGAAGAGATAATTAGATATATGGCGGGATGTTTGAAGAAATAATTTCTCCTTTGCGACAGTGCCGGGCAAAATTATTTGCAAGAACAGAAAGTACCACGTTGTTTTCCGTAAAAGTGTCTTTTACACACAATGATCTAATTAACGTCGGCTGTGTAGCAAAGTGCACGTTGTAAACGACATTAGCAATTAATTAAAAGCATCTGATTTGCTCATTTAACTGAAATAATTAAGCAACTGCTGCGACTATGTTCTACATAATTGGTTCTTCTTCCAATAATTGTAATTCGTAGAAGGGGAATAGACGGAAGGGAATGCATGAAAAAGAGCATATGCGAAACAGCAACGATGCCTTTAGAGGACGAAGGACTTGTGGGGGAATTGTTGCACCTTTTGCTCACGTAAGAACACCCTAGTTTTAAATCCCGTGTAGATTCAAATATTGTTCTTAACCCTCGGAGGACGGGCAGGTTTCCTCACGACCTTATATGATTTTTATTTATAACACGGAGAGAGAAATTCCTCTTAAGATTTATCCTGAAGACCAGGCAATCGTGGGACACGACATTTCGAAGAATCATTATAAGAGTATCTTGAAAGTTTACCATACATTTTACCAATAAATGAAAATTGAAAATGCCGCATTGTCCCACGCTTACACGATTTTCACAGGATAAATTAGAAAAATTCTCTCAGTGCAACTGTCATATATGTTAAAGTGTTAAAGCGTCACACTAGGAAAAATAAGCGACCCCCCCTAAAAATAGACTTTCCGTCCTCTAAATCCCTCTTTTCGTTTTAGGCCTCGGAAAAGCGACACGCCTTTAGACTCCGAGTATTTACAAGCACTGGAACTTGGACGAGAGTATCACGATTGCTCACGGATCTACAGGTCGTGTCTTCCTGGTCAAGGAATTCTAGATGAAATCTCACAGATAATATAATGTAGCAAAGTTGATGAATTGAAAGAGAGCATTATATAACTTAGCGTTTAGAATTTATCATTAAGTTTAACTGTAAGCCGGAAATAAAGGAGAGAAATAAGTAGATACATTTTCCATTTCGATGTATCTCGACAGTGATGTGCGTCCAGTATGATTTGTGCGTACGCTGAAAGTAAAATATATCGATACGGATATTTGACATTTAGTTTGACATTTCTTTAGGATCGAAATACATGTATTGTTTTCAACAACGTGCGCGTAATCATTTAAATAAACAGCTACTTCAATATTTGTATATCGAGAGGAATCTTGACACGTGTGCGAGTCTTATTAAACGTTTTTCAGCAAAACGCACAAGGAAACATGTGGAAAACCAATGTTCTCTCAATGCGAGTCCTTTATACAAAAGTGAATAATGCGCTTTCGGCTAGTTCGCTACTTCTCGCGGAACTGTGCATTACGAGGCTTATAAATGGGGAAAGAAGGATTCGATGGATTCGTAGTTGGAAAACCCGCGCGGAGAATCGTCGCGTTTAGCTTGAATTAAATTAAGCACAATCGTATCTCTCGGATTTAACGTTAACCGCATTTCTACTAATTGGCACGAAACGGTGGAAGGAGGATAGTCAAGACGGGACCGAGTCGAGTGAGATAGAAAGTGCCGTTTCCATTGGATCTGTAGAAACGACTGTATCGAGCCGATCGTTTGGCCCTTCAGTTTCCGATGCTTCCAATTATTTTAAATAATAAGAGATAAAAATAACAATTCTTAATAATTTCTTGGATTCAAAGGAGTAAGGAAAATTGTTTCCTTCAGAAAGAAAAATTGTATCTTTGAAAGGAGGAGGCAGTCATTTTTTGTGAACTTTATTCTCCTCTGTTCTCCGCATTTCCGGTATGATCACGGATGTAGAGGGAAGTCCCTCTATTATGAGATAGCAGGCTTTCAACGTCCAAATTCAATCACAAATCTTTTCTCGCAACGATTACACGATCTAACAATGAATTTTCCACTAAACAGGTTTCACTCCAAGGGCAATAAATTCATGGTGGAGCCAACAGACGATGGCTATTAATTTAGCAGAAACTCTGCCAATATTAGGAGCCTATCTCATAATAAGGGACTTCCCTCTAATTGTGCCTTCATCAAGGCTGCTCCCAATAATGCCGAAACGGATTTCAGAAAGGGAAGGAAAGTAACGAGCCAAGCGAGCCACATCTCGCATAATTCGCCGCTCGAAGAGCAAACATTGCGCAACGAGCGGTTAAATCGTACTTGCGGAAATATCGGTAATTGATCGGCGCTTTCGGGACGCGTAAAAGCGTGGGCGCTCACTCGTCGGTGCTTGGAGCGGGGAATAACTTTCGCAGTTACGCCCGGGTCGGAATTAAGCGGCCAGTGTATCTCGTGGAATTAACGCTAACCACGCTCCTCATAATTGGCAACGAAACAGCCGGCGGAGGACGAGAGGGCGAGAGCGGGGGGCGGTGAAAAGCGGCAGGAGGGGGAGGCCCCCGCGGAGAGAGGTTCCCGTTGCACGAGCGATCGCGGTGGCTGTACGGGGCTGAGCGTCTGCGGATTCTGGCGTAAAGCGTGTCACGTCGGAGAGAGAGACTCTCTCTCTTTCTCTCTCTCTCTCTCTCTCTCGCGCGCGCCCCGCAAAACTCGGCACGGATCTCACGGTAACTTTGTCCTCCCAAGTATCCCTTGGCCCTGCTCCCGCATCTCCCTCTTCTCGACGCCGATTATGCGCCCGCGGCTTTGGTGCAGTGTCTACCTCGTCCTCCTCGCGACGGCGGGACCCACGCACTCCGGGAGACCAGTCAGGGCCCTGGCCTTCCGCAAAGGCAGCACCTTTTTCGTAAGTGTCACGCGATACTCCTGTCCGCGTGCGTCGAGCGCGCAACATTTCGAAGGGAACGTCGCCTCCCGCCGTTCAACGTCGACCGTCAATTATTCGTCCCCGCTCTTTTCACCGCGATTTTCTGCTGGTTTAATTAAAAGTACCACTCGGTCTTGTGTCTCCGTTTGGTTTCGAATTTATCGCGGAATAATTGTGAGGGGGTAAAACGATCTCGATTGCTTTTCGTGTGATTTTCACGTGGAAATTGAACGGCAAAGCTCGTTCGTCTTTGAGATAAATATGAAAGCCTGCAAGATGGATTTTGTACACAAGCTGTGAGATAATTGAATGATCCCGTGGGGACCTTAACGAGAACCCGTTAAACTAGAAATAGTCGTGAAGAGGCGGCGCGGCGTTGATGTTACGTCAACGCGCACCGCCTGAAAGCAGTTTGCATCGTAAAACGGGGAGAAAGAGTTAACAAACGTTAAATTGACGATTCGTCAATTTTTGACGGTGGGGAACACGATCGATTTAGCAATTTTCCGCGTTACAGCGATTTCAGAGCGCGTTGCGGCGCAAAAATTATGAGCGAAACGCGAGCGTCGCGTCCATCAGAATTGTGATGGACGTTATCAGCCTTGAGGCAGAGTCGAGCCTCTGCGTTAAAAAGTAACGCGCGAGTCGACCTAACGTTCAGGCTCGGTTTTCAATTCTCTGATTAATTGTTAACCAGAGGCTATTCGACTCTCCGTCTCTTCTCAGTTAATGACATAGAAAAAGATGGAGAGTCGACTAACCTCCGGTTAACAGTTAGCCGGAAAGTGAAAAACCAGGCCTTACATATGTCGCGGCCGTTCAACCGTAATTAAGCGACTTAATAACATGCAGATGCTCCGACTGCATCGGGGCTAAAGGATTAAGGACTAAATGCACATGCGTACACGCGCGTGTACGTACGTCGACATAGACGAGCGAAGATCGCAATATTCTCACAGAGCATTCCGCAAATGATTGTTCCGCTTCGGCCTTCTACGAGCTAAATTGAAATTCTGCCGTGCGTGGAGCGCATGTTTTTACGCGTTTGACCGAGGGATTTCGTTCGAAAGTATCACCCCACCCGCCCCTCCTCGTGAAATATGTTTCGCGCGAATTACGCCGGCGATCGCGAATTTCATCGCGAAGAATGCCATCGGGAATACTTCGCGTCCCTGACGCGCGGTGAAATCTGGGCGACAGATATACATACCGCTCGCGATTAATTACATTCTCATTACGCGGGAGAATGCGCCGCGTTCGTGAGAAATTCGCGGAATTTTTTTTCTCCCTTTTTTTTACACACGCGGATTCCGCCGCGCGCCCCAGTAATTCGGCCGCTTCGGGTTTTTCTGCCATTTTGGAATCTCTCGTTCTCCCGCGGCGAGCCGGGTCTCGCTTCGCGATGCTCCAATATTCAAATGCTGAAACAGGCCGTGGCCGCGCGCCTTTTTTTCCCGCCTCTCGCGAAACAGCTGCGCGCGCGGTACGCGGCGCGTTGTGGAAACAACCCCCGGCGTAATTTATACGATTTTCGCCCCGTCCGGCTTCGTCGAACGGCGTAACGGCGGACATATATCTTATCTTTCCGAGGCTGTGCGCGCCCTGCTACATGACGCCTCTGAGACTAAAGTTGCGCGTTGAACCGCGTAATATGGGTTTATTTTTGACAGCCGCGGATACGAGCAGCAGTTTTCGAAACTTCTCGCGCGCCCCAGCGTGCTCTCCGCCGCGTATTCCCCAATGAATTCCTCGTATTGAAAGTTGAGATAGGCACGGAATTTATTTCTTGCCGATATACGGAAAGGGGAGGAGAGCCGGTTCTCGAGGTGCGCGCTGAGACTGGGCATACTAGTTATACTATGGACGCCTTCCTTCTAGGAGACACAAATCGACACAAGTGAACACACTCGAGCACAGTTTGTCCCTGTGAAATGGCAAAGATTTTAAGAAGAGATTTTACCGAAACAAGATTGCATCGAGATACTCGGAGCGAATGCGTTACTTCGGTCAAAAACACACGCCGACTCTCCTCCCGAGCAGAGTCGAAAAGTGTCGATCGAGCTCGAATTAAATTCTAAATGGAAAGCGACGTGCGTCGAGTTGTATCAAAAATGTCGATTATGTTCTCCAAAAGAAAATCAGCCTATGTCGCGAGTCATGGGGGCTCATTGTCAGTTACGTTTTGCAAATCTGTCGTGGTGTAATTCCCGGTGAAACCGTAATTTCAAATTATTCACAATCGCGTTTCAAAGAAGCGTAGACAGACAGCATTTCGCGAATCAATTTTGCCAAGACCGGTTATTACATTGTACGTAATGCAATGAATTGTGATTTGCGCGCGCGCGCGCGCGTGAGTGTGCGGGCCAGTGCGGTAATAACGAAAATACGAATTAATCCTATCTCAGGCTGCGGGGAATACGGGATATGTAAAATAGATGGAAATCCATACGTTCGCGGGGAGGGGGGAGGAAAAAAAAGCATCGCTCGCGCAATTTCGACGTATTAAAGGGATGCACGCGCGTCAATGGCGAGCCGGGCAAATGGATCGCGCCGTTCTGGCGGATCGTAAAAAGCCGTAAGAATCAATGTTGTATAACATCCCCTCCGCCCCCCCCCCGCGCCCCGCGTATCATCCCCGTGCCGGCGCGCAGGCGGCACTGTTTATGCAGCCTCCGGCGCGGCGCGCCGCTGTAACGCGAGAGGGTGAATTTATGCGCCATACGTACGCGAGACCGGGGGCTCTAATGTAAACCGATCGGAGCTGCCCGTATTTTCGCTTTAAAAGGCACGAAGTCGCGGATGGCGGGCGTATTTTGAAACACGATGTAGCGCGAGGCATTAATACGGGATGAAGCTATACGCTTCTCTGGCGTAAGCGCATACACCAGGTGCCGCGAATGCCTTAACACGCGGGGTTGCATCAATTTTTGGTGTACTCGGAGTGTCGCGTTAGGACCGATGCGTCATGGCTGTTGCTTGTTCGGGGGTGGGCAAACGGCATTATTACGAGGCCAGCTGGATCTGGCAACCCGACAACTTTGCGCTCCGCGTTGCCGTTCGGGTAAATTAAAGGATACACGCCGCAGCGCTTTTTCGTGAAATTAGTCAAACGGCCGCTCCGAATTTAAATTGGATTTAACTCGGTGCCCGTTTCATTGGAGGCTAATTTCGAATTTTAATCGAGCCGAATTTAATGCTTATATTTGTACATTTATGCAAATCGCGTAAATTACAAAGTTACATCGGAACCAATAATTGCCAATGAACGCGTATTTTTCAGCCCGCGGGAAACAAGATTGAGCTACGAGAATCGTGTATCATTAACATAGCTGATTAAACAGATGACAATTATTACAGATTGTTATTCATCTTTCTAAGGTTTGCAATTTACCGTAAACACGCCGCTCTTACCAGAGAAAAATAAAAGTGTCAGATCAAGTCTTATATACTCAAATTGACGCGTCCATTGTCTTCTATATACGCAACAATCTATAATCTTTTTAGAAGCGTTTAATAATCTTACATTCCAATAACATTACAGTCTTATTTAAGTACTGTAATTGTCACAATAGAATCATTTTAATCATTAGAAGAAAGTACCCTATTATGCGATAGGCTCCTAATATGAGACAGCGGGGTTTCTGCTAAATTAATAGGCATCGTCTGTTGTTTATCGCCCTTGGAGTGAAATCTGTTTAGTGAAAAATTCATCGTTAGATTTTGCGTTTAATTGTTGCGAGAAAGATTTGTGATTGAATTTGGATGTTGAAAACCTGCTGTCTCACATTAGAATCCTATCACATAATAGAGGAAGTTATCTCTATAATCTTCGATATGAAAATGTTATTTCCTATCCAATATCGTTTCCTTGCCATTCAAGAAATAAGCGTGTATTTTTCTCGATTAAATTATATAAAGTTGCTTCATTTACGTAAGGTTTTCTTCCTTTAACGCGATATAATTTCATTTCAAGATTTTCACGTTAAAAGTAAACGGAAGAATAGTCGTTTTCTCTGCGCACATTTATTTCTAATTGCTGGCTTAAACTATCACGTTTCAAACATTTTTATTTTTTTCCCCAAATAACGGACGCTCTCGAATCGGTGATTCTTTTTGTCGAGGAAAGCAGCAGATGTGTCTCCGAGACTTTAGCTTTCGAGCTATCCTGTGTGACAGAAGAATTATGCAACTCGTAATGATCCGGCGCACTTGCAACGAAGTACACCGCAGTATCGATGATACACGCCGTGTTTACCATGTATATTATCCGACATACAGGACGGGAACAGAACTTAGAATCAATATGCATGAATCAACGTTGTCTCGTTATATCCCACCTACATACGTCAACGCACATAGGGACATACATATTTAACAGATTATTTTTGTCGGCGCTTTGTACGCTATACCCGATTACTTTTGAAAAGTGACGCTTTAAGAAAGGAATATGAAACAATCATGTGCCACTGTAGGAATCGTTAGTGTATAATATTTCGGAGAGAAAAATATATTTCCAGAACTGTTCAAACTTACAATTAGACGTACTGTATCCAAGTTTCCGCTCATAGTTTACTTCATATATAATTATATTCTTTTTTCCTTCGTTTGTTGTATTGTTAGAGTCTATTCGTTTCTTACTTTTTATAAATATATTTTCTTAGTAAAATTTCAAATTTCGATTAACCTCAGCTGGCCACATTTATTAAATACGCTTTCACAACGTTCATATTAATTTTATTAATACTGGCAATCTGAAAAAACGTATATATTTTCTTAGCTCGTGACAAATACATCAACGAACACTTACTGCTTTGACATAATTGAGATCAGATTTATACTACCATTTTTGCGCGTCAACGTTCCAAATCTTTCAATTGACGGGCTTACCTTTGAAGACTCCTGCGCGCACAAAGGAGCGCACAAAATCATGTTCCGCCGGAGCTTCTTATCCGCCTGCCCGCAGGCGTTTTGTACGCGTTTCGAACGCAGCCGGAAAATTATGCAGCATGCAACGATCCGGCGCACATACATACTTCGTCTTGGCGGTTCTGGCGAGCTGCGCATAAATCCGATTGCCTTATCGTATTTTCGGCCGCTAAGAAACGTAGGACGGCTACAACGCGGTAAGGTGGCGGGACACTGACAAACGGCTTGCCAGATCCAGACGACACCATCCTTCTGTCGCGTTTACACCGGCGGCAATACCCAAGCGATTCGCACGGTTAATAGGCACTGCGGAACCAACACGTTTCTGCCTCGCCATTCTGTCCGCGGCGGTTTCTTGCAAAGGGGAGAACGCCGGAAGTCAAGCGCCGCAATTTAGACGCTGCATGGATGCAGCGAATAATCGAGCATTGTTAGACAATCCAGTCAGATAATTGTATAAGATTAATTTCGTCATCTATGTTTCTCGAATCTATGTAATTTCTGTCACTTAGAAAGGTTGCCCGACGTTTTACAATACATTTCGGAAATACAGTCTATCCATAGTATAGCCATAGTATAACTAGTAGATCCGCTCTCTGTCGACCCCTTTGATCTTTGCGGTCCCGATTACGTGGGATTTTGCCATACACCCGGGGTAAGATCCAGCGGTGCGCGCGCGCGTGTGTGTGTGTGTGTATGTGTGTGTGTGCCAAAGCCACACTACCACGCATACAACTTTTTTCTCATTGGTCTGCCCAATTTTGGATGCGCGAAAGGGATAGACGCAAAACGAAACAAATGACGGAGTGGACCTACTTGTTATACTGTGGTCTATCATGCGAGATATTATAGCTTTTGCTCACGGATATATGCGGTGACGCATTATTAAAGCAAAGAAATGATATGTACGAATAGCTATGCAATGATACGAATATCCCGGAGACTTATTGTAAAACGTCGGACAGCCTTTCTCCGATCACGACCGCGCCTATAATATCCAACCTTATCGGGGGAGAAGAAGGCGGAAAATACTTTACGATGAAACTTATTAAGTCTTTGACGATCCTTCAAGTATCTTTACCCAAACAACATTTTATGAATGCGTGCAATTTGCCCTCCGACAGAACTGTGTTGACGAAGGATCGACGGCGGGTGACGCGGGAGAGTCTCGCGGTATTGCCCGCGCGAATAATGAGGGGGTAACTCGGGGAAAATCGCGGCGCGGAGGCGCAGTTTTACGATAAGTGTCTCGTTATTTATGGGCGAACATAAAAGATTTGGATGGCCGAGGGGAGGCCCCGCGACGAAGGGATGGAAAATAATACGCTGCGCGAGAGAGCGACGCTCGAATTCTGTTCGCGCGTAGATAGCGGGATAATTCGCAACAGCGGGAGATTCGGATAAGACGGGAATCGGTCCGGGGCGATTCCGGACCGCGCGGGGAATTGAAGGGCTGATCGGAAATTCACAAAGTTCCCTCATGAAGATTACGGCGATTTCATATCTGCGCGCCCGCGAGAGATAGCCTTTGATACGAACTTATGATCTCGGATCCCGCGAAAGTTGCAGGTAAAATTTCGCGCGACTCCCAGCGCGTCCCTCCCCGTCTCGATTCTCGCTCGCGGAAGGGCTTCTCTTTGCACGCGCGGAATGCGAAATCCACCTGAAATTATTTCGCTCACGCTCACGCGTAATTGAACAATTGAAATAACGAGATCAAGATCTAGTTCGCGATTGGAATTGCGAACGTTCGAATAGCTCTATCAATTAAATTATTTCGGAACGCCTTTTTCATGTATTTTTATATTGTTTTTTATAAATTGTCGAGCGCGTCAAGCTGCACTAAATGTCCCGATTAAATTCGGGATTCATGTTGCGTCTTTAATGCGTTGCGAGAATTCCAGCCGAGCACTTAGATTCGTTTGTCCGTCCCTTGTCGAGGCTAAATCTAATTCTCAGGGAGTTAAATAAATGATCTTTCAGTATCGGCTGAACTACAAGATAAACTCTCTGCCTTACACGACAATTTTCGCGCAAGCAGCGGGCTTCAAGGCGGTATGGGAACTGCCGACTACCGGTGGGCCTCGGAACGTCCGCTCCGTTCCAGACATCCACAAATGCGCCGAGCTCGTGTACGAAAGGTAATAAAAAAAGGTAATAAATAAATACTGCAATAGCTGCATAATGCAGAAACGGCAACGATCGCGAGGAAACGGGAAAGATGGCGGCGGCATGTCGGGGAGCAAGCGTGGAAGATGGCAGGGGATGGTCTAGAATCGGGCAGTTGGAACCAGAATGGTGCGGGTGAATTTCTGGCTGGCTGACCGAAGACTTCCGCCATCGCCAAGATCGAATAGCCAACGATGCGGTGCGGCACGACGATTTTTACGTGCTTTTGGCCGCGGTTTCATGAACAGCGCGAATCTCCTTTCGACGTTTCGTATCGATTTACGCATGTTTTGGCGCAACTTTCAAAGCAATAATTATGACGCTATAGTAGAATAAACGCGACTCCGCAATAATTTCCAATGATGTTTCTAATTACGACTTCTTGATTATTTCACCGAACGATTATCACGACGATTATCAGGCTCCGTTAAAATTTCATATTATTGAGAAATGCAGAAGAAGTGGCTTGTTAATTTCATTATTACTTCAATTATAATTTATTAATTTTAATGAGTTAACTGAAAACAAGTTCGACCTTTTGTTTTATAAAATATCAAGAGTATAAGGCCAATAATAATACGAGCAATTGATTGCCAATAAAACATTTAAAAAATTCAGTTTTAAGGAGAGTTAAAGCTACTTGTATTACAATATTTAGTATTATACAATTTTTCAGTTACTATTATTATTGGCCTTATACCTTTGACACTTTATTAATTTTAATTAGAGTGCCATTTTATCTCTCGACAATGATCTCTACTCTATTTTACTGAATTGTTCAATTGCGGCAAATATTTCAGTCATGGTTTCGATGGCCGCTCTTGCTTGCTGAAGAACATCTGTCAGGGATTAGAATACGCAAAGCGGAAGGACGGCGTTATAGCGAAAATATTGAAGCTAGTCGCGGGGTGAGTGCCGGAATATTAATCCGAGTTACATACCGGTGTGTTAATCGCCATTGCTTTCAGGTTATATACTAATAATGGTACTTGGCACGAAGATCCGCTGTTCTGTGAGCATCATACCACGAATTGCCCTCTGCAATTAGTCGGGTTTAATAGTTTTACGGAGCGCTAGCACCGAAGTATCCTAGAGGGCTAATTACCGAGTAATTATTTGAGACGAGACGCGCACGAAGCGCAGTAACATAGCATCGCCACGATTGTTACGAATTAATAAAAACAATAATTCTTACAAAGTATACTTTTACGTTTGTTTTATTATTGATAAAGGGGAGCGAATTGCCGGTTTCTTTCGACGCGACAAAAAGATTAACTCGTCGCAACTGTTGAAGTGCCGCTAATAACGATATCGTAAGTAAGTGTGTTGAGAACGGAGCGATATTACTTGAAAACGGACCGAGCACTAAAAGTTCAGCGATGTTGAGCGTAACATGAGAAATGTCGTGTCAACAGTGAAAAGTTAGCGGTCTTTGTAGCGAACTCCATTTTTCATATTGGAATAAGTACGGACGTAGCAAAAACGCTCGAGGACCTACCTCACTCCCGCGCCCGATTGTTCCTGCAGTTATCACTGGATGACATTATGAGAAATGACAGCGGTTAATGAAACATTTGTCATGCGGCAAAACCGCACTCAAATTATTCCGGGGTACCGGACACGGCAAGTAGTAAAATATGGTGGTACGTCAGCCGACTAAATATAGTAAAAATATACGTTTAGCTGGGGAAGACCAGGAAGTAGAAGGCCCGAAAGGGTATGAAGCGTGTATTACAAAAAATGAGCGAAAGGATGTTTCTACCGAGCGTTATATACGACCGCCGGCGCTATTAATTTGTCTTCGTAATAGCTACCGCCAAAAAAAATATTCTCGTTATTCTCTTCCTCTCGCCTCCCCCTCCCTCCCTCCCTCTCTCGTACCGTTCGTCTCCACTTGTCACATTCTGCGACAGGACGATTATAATTGCTACTCGCGCTGGTCCAGTTCCAACGAAAAGCATTAATTTGGACTATCTGGCAATTAAAAAAATGCCCCACTTTACGTCCGCCATTTGCCAGCGCAAACAAATAGTCATTCAAGAGTCAAGCTACAATCACCGTCGCTACAATCACGCTAATGAGTCAAACTCGCAGTATCTAATTCTCTGATGCGACGAACTTCATACACGTTAGGATAAAAGTGATGTAAGAGGCGAAATCAAGGTTGGAAATTAGGATCATTCAGGTCTATTTCTACCGCCTGCCTCGTTACGTACGACTTAAAGCGGTCCTTAATGAATATCTTGATGTAATGTACGACTGTGACGCATGACTCCGAAAAATTGCTTTATTTTTACATCCCATATAATTACGGGAAAAAATGTGTCGTTTAAAGTTATACGTTTCTTTGTTGCATTGCTTTTATGAAATTGTGTGGTAACAAGGAGCGACTTCTCTGTAAATGCATATTTTTAATTGCAGCGCATTGTTGCCCCGCACGATAGGTCCCGTGACACAGTCTATTTCATTATAAACGAATACGGCGTTGTAATAAGACCGCTTTATTAGCACGTAAATGAATTCGCGATGTAATTATTTCGAGCTACGCTCGTGCTTGGTAGCCGCATTGAAATAAGGACGTCAAAGGTGAGTCCACCGGCGCAAATTCTAACGATCGAGAATATGAATTGTTAATTTCGCATACCAGGCCACCGGGCTTTTTGCATGGCGTAGGAATTCTTCGCTTTATTTTTTTCCCCGATAATTATTTCGGAGCGAACGTTAACGAGGATAATCGAACGCAGGTAACAGAGATATCGGGGCGGTGCGCCGATACTTTTATTATACTCAATCAGTTGCTTAACACATGGCAGATGTAATCCCCCGGGGTGTGTCGCATTACATTTCTCCTTATTCACACGTGACGGAATACTGAGCGAGTCGTGGTAACTTTCTCAATGGGCTATCCAAGTTCTTTTTCTCCAACAACCACCGCGGTAAGTTGTCGGAGCTGCTCCGGGAAAAAAGAGACAGTTGGCAACCCATTTTGGGGCCCACGAAAGAGTTTTTTTTTCAAAGACAGCTGATGTCTGCAAATGGCGAAGAAGGAGGAGAGAAAAATTGAAGAAAGATTCCCACGGATAATGTTGACATTACGAGACGAGACGGTCGCGTGCTGCGATAAAATACCCCGTTGAGAGTATCAATCGACAACGCGTTGGGGATCGATAAGGGAGCGGCGGCGAAGGAATTTCCTCCCCCTCGCACCCCCTCGCGGCAGTTTGCGTGCCACAATCGCGGTAACTTCCATTATGTATACGTTGCAAGTGCGTTTTCGCGTCTATCCCCGGCGGGCCCGTCTCGTTCGCGCTCGGCAGCCCGGCGGGATTCGACGACCTCGTGTAAAATCAATCCGCGATTGTTCCTCCGATGAGGGATAATCGCGGAATGGCACGCGCGACAATGCGTCGAGCCCTCCTCCTCCACCCTCCCCCGTCGCCTCCTTCTCCCTCGCACTCTCTTAAATCGCTCGTTCTCGTCTCCGCGCGTTTATCCCAGCGGACAGCCGTCGCCGAGATTGTCGCGCGCATTCCAGCGGAGAAACGCGATATAATTGCGCCTGGCGGATCCCGGTGGACCGCGTGTTAACGAAAAGCATTAATTTAGAATGCTCCGCGGTTTTCTTGTTGGAGAACCGGCCGCGCGTGCAACTCCCGTATGCAATTAACGAACCGCTCGCACCGGCGCCGCGCACCTTCGCCGCGGCGAGCCTCGCCGAAGGGGGAAAAAAAGGAGGGAGAGGCTCGGTTTCGGCATTATGTGCCCGACGACGGGGTCGGAGCACAAAAAGATTCGGCCGCGACGAACGTACGCCAGGGTGGCTCGCTTGATGGCGACTGCTCGAAATGACAAAGGGCAGAAAAGGGGTAGGACGGCTGAAATAGACTGGAAAATCTCAAGCGGAATTAAATGACAATTCCTCCGCTGTTCGTCCCGCCTGTTTATCCTATTGCCTTGCACCGCGAATCACTCTGCTCGCTCCATTGATAACTGCGCAATTAATTACGATATAATTTTAATTAAAAAGGAATTCATTTCAGGTTGTCTTGAATATTTGCAATATCGAAGAAAGTCCTTGTCTTAATTTGTGCACGGGTCTTGTAATGTACAAGTTTTACTAAACAATAAATTTATAGGAGACAGATAAATGTATACCGTTCAATTAGAAACGGTGAGGGACACTTTCTTCAAGTATAAAAATATTTAAGGGAATTAACATTGCTTCTTCCTTCAGTTACAGTTTAATAAGTGTCCGTAGAATGGATAAGAAATTTTATGAGATAAGTTAATTTCTGGTTCTAACGACAATTGCACCGCGAATCCCTCTGCTCGCACGCTCCGCTGATAATTGCGCAATTTACGACATAATTTTAATTGAAAAGGAATTAATTTCACGCTGCCCTGAATATTTTCAATATCGAAGAAAGTCCTTGTCTTAATTTGTGCACGTGTCTTGTAATGTGCAATTTTTTATCAAACAATTAGTTTGTGGGAGACATAAATGTGTACCGTTCAATTACAAACGTTGAGGGGCACTTCTTTCAAATGTAAAAATATCTAAGGGAATTAACATTGCTTCTTTCTTCAGTTACGGTTTAATAAGTGTCCGTAGAATGGATAAGAAATTTTATGAGATAAGTTAATTTCTGGTTCTAACGACAATTGCACCGCGAATCCCTCTGCTCGCACGCTCCGCTGATAATTGCGCAATTTACGACATAATTTTAATTGAAAAGGAATTAATTTCACGCTGCCCTGAATATTTTCAATATCGAAGAAAGTCCTTGTCTTAATTTGTGCACGTGTCTTGTAATGTGCAATTTTTTATCAAACAATTAGTTTGTGGGAGACATAAATGTGTACCGTTCAATTACAAACGTTGAGGGGCACTTCTTTCAAATGTAAAACTATCTAAGGGAATTAACATTGCTTCTTTCTTCGGTTACGGTTTAATAAGTGTCCGTAGAATGAATAAGAAATTTTATGAGATAAGTTAATTTCTGGTTCTAACGACAATTCGTTCCATCATCTTGAAGCTTTCTTTCGCGGGAAGCTCAACGTGTATCGTTCTTCTATCAGCCGATTAAATATTCTAGTTCTTAATTAACGGAGTACTTAAGATTCGAGGAACCTTCGAGGGAACTTTAAGAACGTAGACTAATTATTGACTTTCCTTCCGCTCTCTTAATTGCGGACACAATTTGCGGAGTTGTATCTCCGCGCAGGGTCTTGCTGCATTTTATCTTAGGGTAAAAGTTCTAAATGGTGTACACAAAACGGTCGAGCAATATTGAGGTAAACATACCTGGGAAATCGAGATGCAATATTTCTAACGTTTGCAATTACTTAGTTAAAGCGACACGACCGTCAAATTTGTTAATAGCCATGGTATAAAAATGATGTTAATCTTGTACTTAATTGCATTCTCATTCTTTAACGTTATTAATACCAGCCACTTGCAATAAATTATATTTAACACTTCGAAGGGAATTAACGTAAAGATGTATGTCGACTTATGTATTTATCGCGAACATCTTCATAATTTCCTCACAGTTACTCGTGCAAATTATATCCCTATTTACCGCTTCTCGTTGTTGTGTACATTTCGGTTCAGTGCTCCGATTCAAGGGTACTTAGTACAAACGCCTCGCTTCAGCCCGTGTTTCTTTCCGGCAGTGACGCCGTGTTTACGCTCGTTGTAAATTTGCCGTCCCTCGTTAAGGCGCGAGCTGTAAACGAGGGGGGAAAAATGTGCTGCGGAAACCGCGCGGTCCGCGGTAATAACGGGAACGGTAACGTCTCTGCTCCGTCTCGCAAAACTGTGTTTAAACTGTGCGTAAGAGAGTGAATAATACGCCGTACAAACAGACGATTGTTCCGTTTGGCCAAGGAATCATCGGGACGCGGACGCGAGTCCGTTAAATCGCGGAGGGACACACGCAATGTTCACCGTTACCGTTAACGGGAATCCCCCGTCAAATTCTCGTACTATCGCCGCGTACGATCGCTAGTGTAACGACGGCTATCTGTGATAATCCGCTGACGTCGCTCGATGACGAGACGGACATATCGAACCGCGTTTATTTAAGTCACGTGTGATTTTTCTTGTTAATTAACGGCGAAAGAGCTCGGTACGCACGCATGTGTTACTTTTTAACGCCGACCTTTGCGAGTCTGCAACGGAGCCTTATCGCGCAAAGCTTTGTGTTTTCTCCGTTGACGGAACTCGTCTCGGGTTTCGTTTCTCACTCGAGATTCCGTTCCTTTGTGACTTCGTTATTCCGCTTTTCGTTGGTGGTTACATATGATCCGAGAAAACGCTAACACCTTGCCGTATGAGAGTTATGTCAGACTATCGGCTTTCTTTTCTTGTCGGCTGCTTGAATTGGTTGATTTTCCTCGCCGGCTCGACGGTTGTCCAGGAGAACGCAGCGGAGGTCGGCGTCGCGCCCAGAATCCTGTCGCGACCTAAGAGATACTTGATTTTTCCGCAGGGTAGTAATTTTCAGGTAAATATGCTTAACTAATGCTTGAAAAAGGACATGTTTAGTGCCTATCTCTTTTCAGTACTTCGGGGATTTTTCCAATGAGTCTCGTTTCTAATGTAAATTTCACAACATCGGGTCAGCCTATAAATAATGCGGCATAAAAGAGCGCTTGATTTATTCTTTAATCTGAAACCGAAAGACTTTCGTCGCCAGGGAAGTGAAAATTTAAGATGAAAAGCAGCTGTCACGGTGGAAAATATATTTCGGATTAAAATAAGAACATTGAATTTTTTAACAACGTCAGTGTCCACATCTAGCATTTTTAATAATACAGAAAACTTATTGAATTTTTTACTTCAAAAATATCTTTAAAAGGATGACCCAATGTATTAGCAGTAATTTCTGCAAATTAGAATGAATATTTTCTCAAACGTCTGCCCGCGATGTAGGACGTTCGTTAGGTCACTTTAAGCAAGATTGCATTAGAGAATTGTAGAAAATCAAACAGCCGTCGCTGTAAATTCGGCCAAGTGTTTCGCAAATGTCTTGTATGTCTTCTGAAATTTGATTGCCACCCCCAGATTTCGGTACACGGATAAAGTAGAAAAGTAAAGCGCCGCCGCTCGTGCCGCCTGCAGTCTGCGAAATTTACGCGGAAAACTGAATTTGCACGTGGATGTTCCGTGTATTTTCCAGTTAGTGTATTGTCTGACTATCGGAGCGTACGGCCGAGACGGTGATTTGGTGCTGGGACTGACAGCCGCCTTGGCCTGGGAACTTCCGAATAAGGTCGACTCAAAGATATCGAATTTGCTTCACCGTAGAAGCCGGAGCGTCGTATATCCGAAAATGGAGGCTTTCTTGCAATCGTGAGTGTCGTGCCTTTATTCCGCATTTTTCAACCGGCTTTTCCCCGATCTTTCAGCGTGTATTCGGGTTGACGAGTGACACACTGAGTGCGCCCGCAGCAGTTTAGAGCACAGCATAACCAGTAGGTCCACTCCGTCATTTGTTTCGTTTTGCGTCGATCCCTTCTGCGCATTCGACATTGATTCCCGGCGAGAAATGACTCGTCGATCGATGTCGCGCTAACATCGATATCGTCAAATTGACGTCGAATTTGACAATGTCGATTCAACATCGTTTCGACGAATCATTTCTCACTGAGTTCGGTCAAGGCAATGAAAGAATAGTAGTGTAACGTTGAGTTCGTACACGCACCGCCGGATTACTGACCAAAGCAATGGCAGAATACCACGTGATCGGGAAGACCACGTGGTCGTAAAGATCAAAGGTGCCGGAAGCGAGTGACCTACTATGCTTTAGGACGTCAACAAAGGTCCCTTCGATTTTGGATAAAACTGTAAACGCGAGTGATCGCGCGCGTCGTCCGTAGCTACCGAATCATTGTGTCGTAGATCAGTTGTGCAGATTTACGCGCAATGGATAAGTTTAGAAAAGCGACTTAATTCTACGGCAAATGTAAATCGCGACACGACTCGGATAATGCCTGCATTCTCGGCGCTTTGCCCGGCTCGCGGCGCGCGGCTGTTACGCGTTATAAGGACGTAATTACTTTTAACTGCGACTGCGGAACGAAATTGTTTCGAGCGTAATTGTTTTCGCGCGGGGTAGCGCTCCGCGTAAGCCGGGCTGTCGTCAAAGTTTACGCTTTATAAATTAAACTTCATCGGCAGCGCCGGCCTCGATGGCAGATCCTGCGTGATGAGGGCACTCTGCGAGGCAGGCCAGCGAGATCCTTCCCAGATAGGCACGGGGTCCTTCGTCCAGGAGCTCCTTCATGCAATTTTCACGTGAGTCAAGACCCCGATTTCCTTAAAAAGACACCGAATTCGTTCCCTCCGAGACGGAAGCTCCCCTCAAATTTTAGGGCCGGTTT